AGAGTGCTGCTCGCCTTGATTCCTCCTAGTCCTTTCCATCATCGTATGTCCAGACAAACCGCAAAACGTCATCGCTTTGTGGTGGATATCACACCCACATGCACGAAGCGGTTCGCCTCCAGTTTTATAATCCTAACCGCAAATGCACGCGGTAAAGGTACTACTTACTTAACTCTAAACCTATTTATACAGAAAGATGTTTTGCTATAGGTAATTAGATTAACGTTACCATATTGAATCATTATGCATTAATATTAAACCGGTACGAGTTTGGAATACTTAATTATTCAACGATAAACAGGTACAAAATCTAAGATTGAAATAAAAAAAAAAACTGTTTTCTGTCGAATCTTCTGTGTGAATCGATAATGGGGATATAAAGGTTGATGTTTTTATCCGTTTATCCTGGTGCATTAACAATTTATCGTGTATTTTAAACAGGTGCGTACCTACCTTGAAAATAAAGGTACTACTACCTACCTACCTGCTTAATGTGAGAAGAATTTTACTAAGGTATCTATAAGGTAAATGCATTCAAGTAATATCGTCGTATAAATGCAACCAACGTGCGTCGCAGCTATTTTTATTTGAACGGCTATCGTTCTGCCCCTGCTCCGCACGGATGTTCAAGAACCTCGTGGTCAGTCATTTGTTTTGTTAATAAACCGTTACAGCACTACGCTACACACAGGGTTGTGGTTTCCCAATACTTCTCTTTAGGTACTTTACTAAAATTTTCTCTTATAGAACCTTTTCCTGACAAACACTGCGTAAGAAGATGTAGCAGAATTCGGTCTAATCTTTACGTTTACACGCAATGATATTATAAGTAAAATGTTATAGTTATTAAGTTACATAAATAACATTCGATTTTCAAAAACGGCACACTTATGCACACATGAATAAATCGTGTGGTACACGTTAAAGTGGGATGGCATGATTCAATAATCGCGAGTGAAAAAGAGTCAAATATGAAAAAGTATGGTCAGTTAGCCATCTACACCTTTTTACTTAGGTAGGTAATTAGGTATAATACTTGTCATTGTTTACACGTGATGCCACGGCCAAGGGAAATTGGGATTCATTATTGATTGTAGATATCCATAAGAATAAGCTTTTCTCCGTTAAATCACATGAATATCTAAGTAAGTGCTTATTGTATTTGTATTCAGGCAGGGATATATTCAGTTAATATGATCACTTGATGTTATGGGTTGCGGTTAAAGTCATGAATGGGGTGGTTTGCGTCAGTAGATAAGAGTCTGCTAGGTACCGATTCTCGATAGCAACCCCTTCGATGATTTCCCACTCTCAATACAACCCATTTTATGAAAATAAGATTAAATCAATTAATTTGGTAACTGAAAGTTATTCATAAGCTGATTTTGTATTTTCGTCCCTATGTGGTAGTAACTATACAAAGTCAAAGTCAAAAATCATTTATTTCAATTAGACCTACACAGGTACTTTTGAACGTCAAACAAAATGTTAAAGATATAAAGTGTCAGTCTGTCGGTCAGTCCTCATAGTAAAGCTGTTTGCTCGTTCCAAAGTGTAGTTTCCGATACAGAAGAACGAGCAAGAAACTCCGTGGTTACTCTTTTTCAAATAAGTTTCACATAAAGATTCTAGGGTACCTACAATGAAAATTGTTAAAACTGCAACATTATTTGAAAATATTATATTATTTCGAGATGGAATTATCCAATGACCAACTCCCGCTCCGAGCCAGGCCGCAGTAATTTATGGCGGCTTTATCCGTAACCCCGGCCATTGCTTATGCTCTATAAAGCCCAAGAATTTATGTGAGTTACCTATTAGGAGTTTACTAAATATTATAAACACTACGCCTTTCTCATACATTCGCATATTTGATAGCATTGATTAGAAGCACAGAGCGTTCAGTGGCCATGACACCATTTCTCATTTTACTGATAAGCTTACCTCACTACCTAGATATGCGTATATAGAACATTATGATGGTACAGCAGATAACTTGCTATTGTATCTAACACATAAAACCACATCAGTGCGGACGTTTTATTATAACAACTAGGTACCTATATTCAAACTTGTACCTAGACTGAATTATAAGTTTACTTTTTTTTAAACATATAGGTAGGTAGGTACTTTTTATTTTATACTCGTACCTAAACAAGTAAAGCCATGAGTAGGAATAGATAGATGTTTATTTGGATTGGATTGGGATTGGTTGTTAAGTTCTTTACATAAGAGTATGTATGTAGGTATGTATATACATGTAGGTATCTATAACTTACACCTACCTGCTTCTCTCGACAGAAATACTAGAAATACAATAATATCTGAGTATTGATAAGATTGTAAAGTATATAATTATATTGTTGCACTACAGGACAAATTACCCTTCTTCATTCTAAAAGTCATAGATAACTATTAATTAGTCAGAAGAAATAGGTAGTTTTTATGAAAAAATATATTGAGCGCCTATTATACCTAATAACTTCCATTAATATGCTATTAATTAGTAGCTACTTTATGGCGTAGGTATTTTAAGATATCGAATCTCTTTATTGTATGGACCTATGCATAAAATTAAATGAAAATTATACATAATCGCAGATTTACGCAAATAAAGGAAAACTAATAAACAATGCGCTCGTGACACGACAATTTTTTATCTTGTTTATCTGTGGCAATGTTTCATGTTTTTACGCTGCGGTTGTGACTCGGTAAGTAATAATAATGATTAAGATTAGCATCCGACAATTATTGGAAAGCAGGAAGTCTAAGTACCTACCTAGGTACGTATAAGGTACTTCTTCAGTTGTATTATCTTGTAATGAAGTGAATGATTAATTGCTCATTAGAATTAAATAAGTAGTTTTAGAGTAGGTAGACAGCTTCGATAGGTAGGTACTAGGTTTTGTACTTAGGTAGGCACTAGCTACCACAAAAATAGTTTTGTCTGTATATACCTACATTTTATATCCTAAAGAGTACTTTGCTTTTTTATTCAACACTGAAGTACGGGACCAATTTCATTTTAGCAGGTTCTCTCTCATGTTTTTTCCTTATTATTAACTAATGCCTAAAACAGCACGGTTGGTGCGGTGACTGGGCAACTGGCTGCCGTGCAACGTGTTGCGGGTTCGATTCCCGCACGGAACCACTCTTTGTGTGATCCACAAATTGTTGTTCCGGGTCTGGGTGACATGTGTATGTGAAATTGTATGTTTGTAACCGCACCCACGACACAGGAGAAAACCCTAGAGTGGGGCAACGTTTTTTTTTAAATGAATGAATGCAGTTAGGCGTCATAGATGGAGATTAACGCATTGGCGCAGTGGCTGGGCAACTGGCTGTTGAGCAACGTGTCGCGGGATTGATTCTGGCATGGAACACTTTGTGTGATCTACAAATTGTTGTTCCGGGTCTGAGTGGTTTGTACATGTGAACTTGTATGTTTGTAAAAGCACCCACGACACAGAAAATAAATCCTAGTGTAACGGTCAGGTATTAAAAATGACGTCTGAAGGAATTTGGGAGCAATAATATTTATGCTCTCAACCTGTCTTAAAGTAATAACTAAATAGGTAAACAGTTTACATTGTAAATTCCGTACCTAATTACACAATTTGGTACCTAATCAACGGAAATAGAAAGTTTAAAAGGTAATATTAAAATTCAACGGTAGGCTATTCAATTCTTTTATCGGCCTACTAACTGCAAGTGCACGAATCTAACTAGCACAGAGGTCAACAACCCAAAACTTCTATTGTTACAATGGAAGAAAACTTTCGCAATTTGGTTCAATGGAAGTAATCTGGCAAAAATAAATTTCGCTATAAATAGGCACTGCGTTATCGACCTTATGCTGACCATGACTAACGTAATGAATACTAAAACTTCATGCTAAGAAAAAGGATTTATGACTTTAGTCAGCGTTTGTGAGTAGTTTGAAAATGCATGTAGGACGATTTTGACCGTATTGATCATGGTCATGGTCGTATGTGACAGACATTTCCGAATTATTCCGAAATCAGTTAACTACAATTGTCGATTTCCCTTGGCCTTTTTAAAATGGATTGCAGACATTGCTGTCTATCTATATGTGTATTCAGCGATCAACGATTATCGAGTTTATAGAGCCAATACCACTGCCTAACTGACATTTATGCAAAGAATACTTAACTTTTTTTAAATTGAGAGACGTAAATTTTTCCGTAAAGTTTTTTAAAATGGTTACAGTAGAATTATTTTAAAATACCTCCCAACAATATCGACGAGATTTATGGCATTCAATACAAAAAGTATCCAGAAAACAAAAGCTTTTCTTCACCAGATTGTGCCATTTTAGGGAGCAAAATACGTTCATTTAAAGCACAAAATGTATTGACACCATTAATAGCTTCGTACGAGGAAAGGGGTAATTTTTCCCCTTTAGGGGAAATAAAATACCATTATTATTGTATTACATGCTACGGACTCTACAGTCCACATTTTCACCCCAAAAATTACAAATACGTAGATAAAAACATAAAAATCTTTGCTTCGAAAAAAAACGCCAAAGTACCTAAGTAGAGGCAGAAATATTCTTAACATGTAGGTATTTTACACACGTCACATTCATGGTTTAATGAGATCTAATTGAGACTGACCCATGCACTTAGTGCCAAAGGTCCCGGCGTAGTTCATTCTCATAGATACGTACACTGTTAAAACAATTATAATGACATTAGTGTTTTGTTTTTTGCATTATTTTTCACTACAGTGAACCTAAACAATAAAAACTTATTTGAAGTTTTCTCATTGTACAGTATATTCTTAACTTTATGTTCTTTAATATTGTGAAAAAAATGTTTAATTAATTTATAGCTATTAAGTTAATACACATACTAAGTTAAGTGTATTAAAATGCTAAAAAAAACATTAAAACATAGCAAAATTTTATATATTTGTTATCAATACCTGCATAACAGCAGAACAGGTTATATAAAATAATTAAAGAATAAAATATAAAAAAAACGAACATTTATTATAAAACCTAACTGATTTCATACATTTTCACTTACATATTTAAGTGCAACTTAACATTACTTAGGTACTAGTATAGGTGTACAAAATCGTCAATATTATTAATATAAAATTATATCCTAGTAGGTATCAACAAAATAAATGCAACTTTACAATCCAAACATTGTGTTTCAAAATAAAAAGTTGTCTTGACTATGGCATATTTTCGTAGGCATAATATTTTTTTATAAAAAAATACATTTGCATGTTTTTTTATTAACTGGCTAATAATTTTATATAAAAATTTATTTAAGGATACAATATTAAGATAAAGCTGATCAGAATTCTAGAAGAGTTTAAAAGAAATTAGGTAAGTTAAATATACCTCTTAAAAGGCGTTTTTTTTTTACATTGCTGCTCCAATAGCTGCACCATAGAGTTTAAAAAAAAATACCAAGAAGATTTGCTGTATTAGGATTAAATGCATCTTTATTCCACATTGATAGTGAAGCTTAAAAAATAAAATTTCAAATAAGTATTGTTTCATAGGTAAAATTTCAGTCTACTAATTTAATTACTTACAACTAACTTCTTGCTTTAATTAAATGAACAACTTATGGTTTCGTCTACTTGCATATAAACAATTGAGTCCTTCAGTAAAATATATCTTGTACTAAACTTTGAACAAGAACATGTTCATTTGCCAAACTAAGTGATATCTCTGAAAGATATTTTTTACCAATGTTCTTTTGTTTGTATAGTAATCATACAAAGGCGGAGGCAACAATAAAAAGTAAATAGTTTATAAATATTGTATAGATATACAAAAGTCACATCAATAATAAGGTGATATCTTATAATAATACACTTACTAGGTTACAAATACAAGTCAAATAAACAAAGACAAAGTAATACTTAGATAAGCACCTAAACATTTAAATATTTGTTTTTATTTAACAAATTATCTGATAACATCTAATAAAGGAATGTTCTAAAGTGTGGACAGAATCGTTAAATCATTGGGAAATAAGATATGTGAAATACAATAGGTACATGTTTAGTTACAACTAGACAGCTACACTTCCAGTAACCATTCACTGAATGTCAGTCTTTTCATTATATTCAATTTGTCAGTGAACACCAAATTTTTCAAAAAGTACAGTCAATTGTTTAATTTTGTCACATTTTAGTCGTAGCTTCTAAGGAGCGCAGGAGAGGTGCGCGGGCCATATACTAGAAACGATCTTTAGAGGCATGCAAGTCAGGGTTGGTCAAGTATTGCAGTTCCTGCAACTCCTGGAACTTCTCATGGTCCCGGATGTGGGCATAGTTAGCTGACAGACACATCAGGTAATGCACCAAGCTCAATATTACAAGTATACATGACACCATGGCCAGAATGAACATGAATTCTGCTTTCTCTACATAGTCTTTGCAGAACAACTTTATCTTGTGTGCCTCACATATTCTCATATCCTCTTGTTTGACACTCGAAGGGAACATGAAGTCAAATTGAGTAAAGTCAATACACGTCGATAAGTCGATATTTTTCGGTTTCGAACATAGTTTCCAGAATATGGTAAATAAGAATGTCGTAATAACTAGGAACCCTAGTAACATGATCCATACAAAAGTTAAAATGTACGTTATGATCATAAACACTGCGCAAGATATCCGGCCTCCGACGCGGGCTCTCCAGGCCCGGTAAACTTTCTGCCTGGTGGCGCCTGTTGTCAAACAACCCAAACACAAAAGCATGAAGCCCAGAGCTGCCATACAAGCACTGCCTACTATGAATATCATTTGTAGCGCTTCAATCCATATTAATCGAAAGTGAAATACTTCATCGAACATTAGTATTGAAAGCGCTGAGCCCCGATACATAGTCCCGCAGAACACACCCACGCCCAGGCAACACATAATCGTTGCGATGAGTGTGGCATGGGGTACCCGGGCGAGGCAAGCCTGACACGCGTCACCCATTGCTGATGATGTAAACTACTTTCAAATATCACTTAAATACACCAATATTTTTCCTTGTTTTACACAAAATTTATGATTATTTTCACTCACTTCCCAAAACGGATATAAATTACGCGTACAACGGATGACAAATAATGTTGACGTTTCGTTTCGTTCATTTTTTTTTTTGAGTTTATTGCCTGGATACAAGTCCTTTAAGCTATCGTTTCGTTCATCATTCCTGTGACCACAGATTCAAATAATTAAAAATTGAACGCATGAACTACATTTCGCTGAGAGAACGAGATAAATTCTATCCTGTACTTATTTTCTTCTAATAGTTACATGCTTCAAAGATTTTCGTTATAAATATTTATTTTCTATTATTGCTTGGTAAGAATTCTTGTAACATAGATATATTTTGTAACATGATCAAGTTCTTGTGAAATATCCAAACACATTACGTAGCCGGCCACGTCAAAATGACATATAAAAGTAGTGATGTGGTTTTATAAAAATCTACTAATGGACAGATTTCATTAGTCGAAAAAATTTTAAACGCACAACTGAGATTTTTTAGTAATTATTATTTTAAGAGTTACTATCACAAATATGGGTTTTTACGATTATTTCACTTGATTATGTCGTTATTTTTATTAAAATAAAACATTATTATTCCTACATACTGCTACTGACGGAAATGCAAATTAGTCGATTAATGCCATTATTAATTGTAATCTATTTCTATCTGTCTCACTATATAACTAATCAGTTTGTTAACTCATCGGGAAAAGTATGTTATTAAAAAAGAGATTGCTTATACAAATGTTGCACTTTGAGCCTTTATATGAGAAACACAAACTATCGAAACAAAATGATAAAGTTTACCTTCTACAGATAATTAGCTGATTACCTGGTTACTCACTATTTCCTACTTATTAACGATTTGATTATTTCAATTTTTATTTCATGAGAAAATAATGAATCGACTAAATTTGTTTGTTGTAGTACTAAATAATATGACAGTTCAACGATAACAAAACGATCACATCTCTAGTAAATTACAATCGAGGATTTGTGAAACATATTTGTATTAAATTATTTAATAATTGTACAGTGTTGATATATTCATCGTATTAATATTAAAAAATGGAGACTCTATATCATCAGACTAATCACCTAATACAGGAAACATCAGAACTTTTCCAGAAATTAGAAAGAGATCCAACCAACTATGAGAGCATAGAAAACGCAATTCAGTCAAAAATTAATACAATTAGTGCGTAAGTTCATTTTGTTATAATTACAGATAATGCTAATTGAATTATCCGCTTAGTTTATCTGGCTTTACAACATGTTCTTTCTTAATTAACAGTTTGCTTAAGGTTAACATACTGTTGGCAGAATATAACATATTTGTGATCATATCTTTGATATTACAGGAACTGCGAAAGATTGGATATATACGTTTTCAAAACACCAATTAACCAGCGGCCTATGGCAAAAATGAGGGTTGACCAACTGAAGTATGACAACAAACATATTCAGGTATAGAATTGGTTCAAAGTTTTAAGTAGGATATACACATAAAATTTGATTTTGTAAATTTTCTGAACAGCTGTTTCATGTGTTACAACATTGTGATTTGATTAGATCCATATCCAGCAGACTGAACTGGAGGTTAAACAAAGTCTAGACTTAGATAGTTAATTATTGATAAGTAATCCAACTGCATCCATTTTTTCATAGAAGCAACTCAGAACACTCATACTTGTAGTTATCTGCTAAGAATATCTGACGGAGTTTCATTATTGTAAGTATGGTGCACAATAAAATACCTGTTATAAAATATTGGAATATGTATGGACCTGATGTTAATATTAATAATTATATTAATCAAGTTAAAAAAAAAACTGATGTGAAACAGATAAGTACATCCCCTGTAATAATAATACACTCCTTTTTTTCTACACTTCTACAAACTCGAATCCTAGTCTTAAGCACACAACTAGATAAACTCAATCAAATGTCGAAATCTTTAGATGAATCAGTTACCCATTTTATAAAATTAGCTTAAATTATTTATCCATTACAATATAGTAACAATTTCTAAATGTTCAACAGGCATCTCTAAATGCAGCTCAGAATAAAAGAATAAAGCGTGAACAAGAGCTAAAAGACAGAGAACAATTGTTAAGCCGGAGGTTTGGACATGACCACACTGCCATCAATGTGGACTACTTAGCGCAGGAACAACTATCATTACAGAACTCACATAGAAATGTTGATGAAATGCTGCATACTGGTAAGAGAACATAATAATTCTAGAAACTTTTTTAGAAGCCAGCTTCAGTTCAGCTAGTATCCTCTAAAAAGTCAGCCTTTTTAGAGGATCCAGTGCCTTCTTATTGATGCTAGTAGTGGTTATTGAATTTATTTGTGTAATACACACATCTCATCAGCAAGTATAACCAAACCACCATCTTATAGTGAATTAAGAAACTCAAACCCATGGGTTTGGTGAATCATATACAAAAAAAAAACAAAAAGAACAAGCAATAATTTTTGTTCTAAGTACTATATATAAGTACTTTAAGTTAAAAATGTTTTGATATTTATAAAAAAAATTAACAGTATTTATTTCTCTTATTTCCTTGAGTCGGTACAATTTGAAAGTTGTACACTTAAAGTCGTGTTGTGCTGATGTTTTTTTTTCGATACCCTGTTGTTTTTGTAAATGTCACGGTTTTTTTGGAATAAAACTTGAAATTAAAAAAAGAATAATACATATTTGCATATTGATTATGTTTTAATTTTATGGTCGATGGTCTATGAATAATGTATAAAACTTAAATTGCATTCTTCTGGACATTTTGCAGATGAAATAATATTTGTTATATTTTAAATGGATTCTTTAAAAAATTTCAATTTTAAACCAAAACTGGTCAGGAAATAGTGCTAGTAGTTTAAATAGAAAATAGGTTTAAAAACTAATAAAGACCCTTGTTTCATTTTATATATTAAGAACAGTTTGTTGCTATTTGATGTTGTTGATCAGAAACAAATTGCTTACAGACTTTTGGTAGGCGTTAGTAATTTTTCGCGGTACACGTACCTACCAAGTCGATAGTTTGAAGGTAAAAACAATTATGACGTAATCTCTTCTACAAAGGTACTAACTAATTGGCAATAAAATGAAATATTTAAAATTCGAATATTATAAGTACGTGTACTTTCTGCTTACCGAAATAGCCACCTAGATTTTTTTTTATTAGTTGTGATATAATTTTAGATAAAAATTGCTTGATTTTCCATACGTTAATTGGCAATACATTGGCATAATGCCACCAAATTTAGACATAGACGTTTTAGCATTTGGTTAAGATAGACCAATGGTGAGATAATGTCGCCCAAAAATAGAACAGTTTACCTCTATTTAATGTATTTATGAGTCCATAACCCAGATCACCTTATTGGCTAGGCTCATTTAAGTGCAGACTACAAAGTAAACTAGCTATCGAGAACGACATAGTTACGATGGTCGGCAATGAAACCAGTTAATTAATTTGTCGTGCTCATACTTAGGTACCTACCTACTACCTACATCTATACTTCGAGTCGCTGACTAACCGAGTCACTGTTTCTAGATGCCAACACTACGTGGCGCTGACATCACCGCACGTGTTTTTTTATTATCAAACGTAAACCTACACAAAAACCAAACTAGTTGCGGGCCGCACGGGATCACGAAATAAATTTATTTGTGCTCCTAATATGATTTTGAGTTGTGTTAAGAGTTTCGTGTTCAGTTATTTAAAATACTTACGTGTCCCGATGTTTAAGATAAGTATCTATTTGTATTTAGACATCAATTTCTTAAATGAATTAGGTATTCAATGACAGTGAACGCACGTCCTAAACAAAACAGCTGTCTGTTTGGAAGTCAGCCTATGGTTTCCCCGGATAGCGTTAAATTAGTACGACGAAACGATTTTCTTCATTTGTCGCGTAAATAATTGCATGTAGCTACCTATAATCACATACAGCTAAGCGATTATCTTAAAATAAAACAATTGAAAGAAGTTTTATTCAAAACACTTACCACATCTTGGATTGTTATTGTACACAGTTCTCACAACACACACACATTAACAGTAATATTGTTTGTATCACTTATAGATTGGAAATAAAACAGGAGTGCCACCTAACATGACCGCTCCGTATCAAGGTAAACTTAATACACGGAGTCAAAGTTTTTCGAATAAGCAGCCTAGATCGAGATTACTTCACCCGCTCGACGCCGCTCGTATCTGCGATGAGAAATTATTTACAATTAAAATATATAAACATAAGCAAGTGACATATAGATGCTGCTAGGTAGTTGAAATAAAATAATGTGCGATTAACATTAAAATGAAAAAAAAAAACTAAATAGGATTTAGCATTAAAACATGAAAATGTTTTTTTTAACAATGAGACGACCTTGAAATTTTATTTAAAAGGAATGTCATTAATTACCTTGTAATTATAGTTGTCGTATAGGAGGATGCACGTGTTTATCTGGCGACTTGCCTTCCCCTTGTACACATATGATACAGAACCGAGAAGGGATTTACACGCATCATTAATTCTTATAATAAAAATATACTCGAACATACCCACCTACGTACTCACAATAAATGTTTTAATTCGATTGAAGAGCTGCGGAAACATAAACTTATATGGGTTTATTGTTGTTTCAATTTTTATTTTATTATTATACCATTAGACCTTGAACTATGAACTAGTGTTGATCACTGGTTTACCTATTAAATAGTTCACTGGAGCACGTTATTCAGTACGCTGTAATTATACTAACTTGGACAGATTATCTGGTTGAAATACAACATTTTACAAGCTGTATTCTCAATCAATGTTAAGTAATATACAGAGTTAGTTGAAAGGTAATTCTGTCGTGAGCTAAGTATGGGACCTTGTCCTTTATTTTATCTCAACCTTGCTTAGGAGATTCAATGTCTTCATTACTTATATTAAGTTTATTAAATATGTTTTATTACGGACCTATCTTCCGAATACTTATGTTTATTATGTGTTTTCGTCCATTATTAGGGGATAATTTGACTTCTTTTAATATATTTTTTTGCTTATGTCGTCGGAGTCACGTGTGTTCAAGGACACCTTTGCTCTCCGAGCGATTACGATTTTTTATTCAAATGACCTAATCGTGCCTGCCTATAAAATAACGAATAAATATACATATATCATCTCTTTAATATCGTAACGCTTAATTTCATTCTTTTTTATATCTTTCTTTAGGAAAACGATTACTTATGCATAAACATATATTTTCTTTAAGAATTGGTGTGTGAACATTACAAAGCCATTGTTACAATATTTCTCATTTGTTCCAGGTTCAAATATTTTGGAGACTCTAAAGTACAATCGGGAAACAATTAAAGGTGCTCATAGAAGACTAATAGATTTAGCCAACACACTAGGTTTATCCAATGCGACGATATCTTTGATAGAACGGAGGGTGTCTCAAGACAAATATGTCCTGTTCGGTGGCATGTTCGTCACCCTCACTATCATAGTGCTTGTGATAATATATTTGACGTAGTTCCAACTTTAGTGAGGGGTACAGTTCGAACCTCGATCCTCGTTGACAATACATTAGTCGTTTAAATAGAGAAATATAATATATTGTAATCAATCTTATGTTTTCTTATGTACAATGTTCTCTTGGTCACAAAAAAAGATTCCCTAGTGTACCTTCGCGGTGAAGTGGACAAATGGACACTTGAAGCGTAATTGGGACAGGACTTTCTCCCTCCATTTATCACAGTATCATGGCCTGCTATTGTATCCCAATGTTCCAATAAAGTGTGGTGCTAGTGCAATATCTGCTAACATAACCTACCTAATCATTTCATAATAATTGATGATGTTTTCGTCCAGCAAGGCCATTCTATGCCGATTTTGCTCTCGCAATCTGTGAGCCAATAGGCTAGGTTACACCCAGACTCAGTTCATAGTTACAGTTTACTTAAAACTATCTCTCAAGTAATAAAACTGAACCATTACTATCTGAGTAAAGATTGCGATATCTGTATTTCAATACACTTACAAAATATTCGTAGAAAGTAACCGAACGGTTCATCGAAACAAATAATGAAGTTGCCATATATGTACTTATGGTTTAAAATGATTATTTTTGCTCTTAATTGTGTAGTTCCAATTAATAATTAAATACTTTTTGTTATAAAGAGAACCAGATCAGGTCTGATTAGGTCAGGTCTGTTCACAAATTGTTACATAAAGTTTGCAAAACCTTGCGATTGCTCGAATGGGCTTCAAAATACAAGTTTTTGCGGCGATCACAACACCACAATTTAGCTTTAATATAATTAACCCGAATTTTTATATTGGTTACTTTTAAAGTAAAATTGCGTCAGATAGTAGTCCACTGGTCCAATATATTTATTTAAGAATAATATTTTGTTAAAGATTCTATGGTGTTAAAGATTTTTAAACCGGTTGTGTTGAGTTACAGTTATTTTTGGAAATTTTCTGGTAACGAAATATTTATCTTATTCTTGCCCCCTATTTTATAGTCACCGTGATGTAAACCTGTTCTTGGATATCTCAAATTTTAATACAAAGCCATTGCAACTACCTACCTACCTAATTGTTATATAAGTCTCCGTGTGACGAGAATAAATTAAAATAAATACTATCTATTATTTTATTTTTTCAACAGTTTCTTATAATGTCTCGTACCTTTTTGTACCGATCTATTTTGTGACGGGTTGAACATAATATAAATGTATTATTTTATTGTATCTATGAAAGTGTTGATTATGTTTATTTAATGTAACATTCCTTCATTATTTAATTTCGACTATGCACGTGTTTGTGAGCGTACACGATATTGTATTCGATACCTGTAATTATCTAGCTTATGCCTGTTTGTATATTATTATAAAAATGTTATTCATAAGTGATATTCTATTAAATTTTCTATTTTCTACACATGTTTTTTTAGTTCACGTTATATTCTTTTAGGGCAGATTTTTCAATACCTAGTCAGATAAATGTTATCTGAGGAATAAAATTTTTGCTGTCACTGTCTTATACAAACATTCTGTCGCGACAGCGACATAATTATTCCCCAGGTAACTTTTACTAACCATTCAAAAATCAGCCTTTAGTTTATTTGGCAGTTGTCATAATATTGGTTGTGGAGACTTTACCTATGCATAAAACTTCTGTAGTCAGGAATAAACATACAAATTATAAACACGTTAATTTACCGATGTAGTTACTACCTGATATAAAAAAATAAAACAACAAAAATTTAAACTATTAAATTTATTTAAAATAAAATGATAATTATCGTTTGGAACAACATTGAAATTCATCCGCATTTTAAAAGCTCAGTAAAAGTGTACAAGGATACAAAAATATGACCATGAAATGGTTGCGACGTGAATGGGTAGGTAGGTATTGTTACTAAATATAGATAATCTACCTAATTGAAAGTCAGTAAGTAAGGTGTAGATATAAAAACATCTTAATTTTTATTGCTAAGAATAAGAGATTCACGCAAATTGAAGAAAAATGCAATGCCAAAAGCCCTATCATCCTAAGCGTCCATATTGAATAATATCATGTCTAATAAATGTCGGGCGAGTCTACATTCTGGGTAAAACTGCAGTAGGATCAGTCTTTCTCTCTAGGGGATCGCAGCAAGGTTTTTTAGCTTCTACGTGTCTGCAGGCGAAGGATACATCTTCTTCTTTGCGTGGAGCACAGGCTCCGGTGTCTGTAGATGGCGGGTGGACACATGTGTCGACGGAGTCTGGTGGGAGGCGCGGGTAGTCGGCCACACGCGTTGCAGCGGGTGATATAACGGGAACATCTCGACGTAACTTCTTCACTTGCTCATACGCATCCGGAGCGAGCTTCATGTATTCGGGTACCTGATACAAATGATTTCAAGTCAGTAATTTCTAAGAAAGTAGGTGTCTAGCAATGTGACGGCCTACAATTTGATACCGGTTGCGAGTAATAAAAAACTCGTTTTTTTTTCAAATCGAAAAGAATATTTAAGATTCAAAATAGTCTAATATAATAATATTAAACCAATGGACTAAACAAGTCGGTTACTAAAGGATCGATAAAATAAAATGTCGGGCATGTGAGCGATGGACCTCATCGTGAGCCCTATCGTACTTAATTATCATATTATTCGATCGTTTTCCTGATCATTGCATAATCGAGTAGAAGCCACACAAGAGTATTACGTGACATATCGGGCGAGGGTTATTTATCAAATAACTGGTGGTTAGGTAGGTAATATTATATTATATATAAAATACATAATATTACAAAATTATATTTAATTCCTACGCTTAGGAATGGACTAAAGGACTTAATGAAGACTTAATAATAACTCTACAACACGAACGTTTAAAGTCACTACAGACGTGACTTCTCTCTAGATTCCTGGAGGTTTCTCAGGTAGTAGCATTATTTCCTAGGTAACGTGGCGCCACGTATCGTCGACATCGACAGTATAAAATTTTATTGAGAGGCATAAGGGTAGTCCTAAAATGAACTCGCCGTGGGAATAGAAAACCTCAGCGAAAAACTGTTTAAAATCAATGAGACTAGTTGTTCAGTCGCGATTGGACACTTTTAAGAAGCGTTATGACTGATAAAAAGAAGAAGAATCTGGTATCATGAAAAGAGGATGCGGTAGCATAGGTCTCATTAAAATAATGAATGTTACCTGCTTGCAGTCGACGCCATAAGTGCCGAGGTATCCAGGCAGTTGTGGCTTCTCCACTTTGTCATCTCCGATGGCATTCGAGATCTGCGAGCTAGGCACGATCTCATACGGACACACCTCGTGAGCACGACGTTCTGCGCGCTCCGCTGCATCCTGTGGGAATATTCAATTTAAATGAATAATTATTTGTAAATTTACATTTTGATCGCTTATTTTCATCTATCTAATGATGTTATGTATTATTAGAATTCAACAATATTAAGAAAACCCCTGAATCTTTATGGTGATTCCGTTAATATGTAGCTTTAGCTTATCTGTAAAAGTTCCCTTCGTATTCCATATTTACAGATTCTGATTTGATCCAGGAAGGGAGTGCTCTTTCCATTCCCCTAAATCGTCAGCCTTATTAGCCTAAATTTTATAAAAATAGGTAGATACTTATAAAATGCCTCAATGTCCTTGCTATTCAATACCTAAATACTCGTCACCCGGTAGCTAATTATTGCATTCGCACGCATGACAGCACATTTCCATCATCCACGGTCCACGGTCTGTATAACGTCCTATGTATTTTGTTTTATCTATGCGTTAGTATTTTTACATCATTATCATGTGCATTCATGCATATTATTATGTTTGTATTAATATTTTTATATTATATTCATTGTATTATGCATTTTAAATAATTACTTTTATTTTAAGTTAGCTCTTGTACTTTTTGCACCGACCATATTCTTACTGCATCACCCAAAGGTTGGCTAGCAAGAATGCTTGTTGGCATTAAGCCCACCTATGTACGTTTACGTACGTACGTACGTACGTTAAGGTTACATAAATAAATACATCCTTTTTTCACTGACTTTATTACAGTAACGGAAAAACTAAACGGCGTAAGAACTAATCAGGCAAGCTCTATGACTCGAATTATTCCCAGGTTTTTCGTTGGATATAGAAGTTAGGTAGTGATAGGCACCTTGCACTACCTAACCTATCTTACATCTGGAAACCTTGCGTTGTTGTTGTTGTTGGTAATTTATATAAATATGTTATTATTTACCGGATCCTTAAATTGGTCACAGAAGTCTTCGTCCTCGTTATAATGAGGCTGCTGCCCTGGCGGGTAAGTCGGTTTCTGCAACCTAGCCTCCCTGTGTTCGTCTGCAGAGGGGCCACTGAAGCACACCACCTTTTGGTGATCGTCTCGAGCTGCTCCAGACTTCAGAATGCCTTTGAGAGGCGTAATGTTTTCGCACGTCGGTTTGCTGTTTAAGAAATAACAAAATTAGGTAAGTACCCATTTGATAGACCAACAAGTGGTAATAATTGGGTAGTTTCTTAGGTCAAAAATAAATTATTTGACGATTCAATACAATAAAATAACTATAGTTTTATTTATAGATCTGTCGATACCCTAAGTTCTAGATATATTTTAGTTTTTTTTAAGAAATAACTTCGCTATTTGACCTAAAAATACTATGACGTCATAATTTGGAGTTTCATTCTTTCATAGAAAAGTATTATTTTTTGACATGAAGTATTGAATTTGACTAGTTGGAAACTTCAGTATTCTTAACTGGTGAGATTTTTTTTTAAATTTTAGATGTAAGTATGGTTATTTTTGTACCTCACTCAGTTTGTATGAATCATTTATGTTTTTCTAAAGGTCATATCTAGAGCTATCTCTAAATAGTGCTGTCATTAGCATATAGTGGTCCAATGTGCCGATATTTCATCGCCAATATCTCCATAATGCACACCTAACGTTGATCCTAATCTAAGATTTATGATGGTTCAGATTGAGATATCGCACACAAAAACTTTGGTGCAGCGTTCGCCAAAGAATCTTTTTTTATCTTTTCAATTTTTCTTGAGTTGCATTCAAGTTTTTTCGTTCTACACGTATACATCTGTCGTGAAACGTGCAGACAGATTACTTGATGGTAAGCTATCGATGCTTGGTGCTTGGTATGGAAACCAAAACAGTTTGGCACGAGATCGTTGTCGGCCTTTTGGAGATTAGGATTTCGGAGATTTAGGCATTGGAGAGGTATGAGGCAGAGGAAGGACTGAACGTCCAGTAGCCTCACTCACACGGCGAAACACAACGCTGTGGTAGTTTCACGATGGTTTTCTCATACAACACGTACCTATGAAAAAACTTGAATGAAAGAGACTCGAAAAAGAGAGAGAGAGAGAGAGATTAAAAATTATCTTTCAAAGTGCGTCCGGATCTTACGAATGGATCTCTTGCGGACTACGCAACCGCTACATATGTTTCTGCATTCCTCTGCTTTCTCATTTTTGGACTAAAAAGCGTCATGCTATAAAGTAACTTTTCGTTTCTTACCTCTGTCGTGTTACTCGCAACGATTCGTCGTAAGAGATGCGGTCAGTTGTCATGGGAGGAGTTGGAGGTCGCGGTGGGCTGGTACTGCCCTCCACCACGTCGAGCGCGGCCAGACAACGCTCCATTGCGCTCGGTTCCGCAACGGCCGCTGAGCCAATCTTCGCAAGTTGCGCACGAGTTTCTGCCGATTGCTCCTCGCGGAACGCAGTCTAAATAAAGTTTTGCAATTTAGAAGCATTTATACTTAACTTTTTTTTTCATTTCAGAGATAAAAATCTAGATATGTTTGTAAGTATTATCGACTTTCTTATTTACCGTAAGTTCATCCTTCAAGTTGCCCTCGCGCAAGTGGTAGTTGCGCACGTTGTCTATAACTTCTTGCGGGAACTTCTCTGGATTGGCTGTCATGTATCGATACACGAATAGATCGCACCCGATTATACGGAAACGGTGCTTGAATACCGGTATTATGGCTCCTAGAACGAAACGAAAAGTTTAAAAAAATAATCATTGGCATGACTTTTAAAACATCTACAAGTTGTCTGAAAAAGGTCTCAATAAAATAAATTTAAACAATCCTTGTAAGTATTTTATACGACCTCTTTAATAATAAAAGGCTCTTTAATAATAATACCAAGATAGTTTGCCTTTAGTTAACACCTAAACTGAAAAACCATAGTTATTTATGATTAAGTAACATTTGATACTTTTTATACTTACCTATATAGAATCTTTCAGGAGTAAAGTACGTTGGGAAGTTATGGTCTGATTCGGGAGTCTCCAGCTTCATAGCTTGTAAGAACTTTCCCTCTCGAATTCCAGAGTTCCTTCTAGGAATCTCACCAATCTTGATAGAACCATCGGCGAGGCTGTACGACATCACAAACTTCCTGCCATCGTCTTCTGGATGTACCCAGTCCAACTCACAAAGGTAACGAAGATACTGAAAAAAAAAAACAAAAGTTTTGAGAGTTTTATTTCTTAAATCATTGTTGATTGTGCAAAATCGCGCATTTATGTATATATCTGCCGATTGCTTATAATCAGGAGTTTCGTCTACTGTTTTATGCCCTATCTCCAGAAAAACAAGAATAACTTTGTCCTGTGTTTGAACTGGACATTTCGTCCACGCGGAACAACTACATGTGTTGCAAAGATTGTAATTCCGTGTCTTGTATTTTTACGTTTATAAACGCATGCACATAGGAGATAATTCTAGTGTGGGGGAACATCAACTATATAACTCTCCTTAAATCTTATAGTAGTAGGTAGCGTGTCAGAGTACAATATTATTCCAAAGAAACAACACTTCACTTTAATACGTTGACAACTTCATCATAAAGTATGAATGTAAGTAAAGTGCATCTCTGGAAGGAAATGTTTACGTAACTCCCTGAATCTGGCAGATAGCGCGCTCCGAGTTCGCTGCTCAATTCTTTCGTCAGTCCTACAACTTTAATTGAGTCGCCAACTTGGAAATTCAAACATCAAAGAAGTATTGACGTCCGATTCCGCTAGATATACTCGCAAACATTTTTAAAGTATTGTGCAGTCAATTCAAGTTTTTGGTAAAGTGTGTAGATACTTCGATGTTTTTTGACGCTAGTATTTACAATTGAGTTAGAGTTTAGACTTAGACAAAAATTAATTGTTTTGAATTTTCTTTTTTTATGACATAGGTCGGCAAGCGTGCAGGCGGATTACATGGTGATAAGCAATCAGCACCGCCCATGGAAAGTTTTTAGAATATTCTTAAGAGTTTCCATAAGTAAACTTCCAAAGAAGTCACTATGAGTGCGTTGCCAGCCTCTCATGATCATTTGATAACGCTATTTAAAGGTCTCTGTGAAAAACTGGAAGGGACAAAGCGAGATAGTTGATCTTGTTTCAAAATAAATATTGTCGTCAATTAATTACTATTTAGGTACAATAACGGCAGTAACGCAAGTATTTGCTTTTTATATTATTTTTCCTCCTATAAATCTTTATTAAAATAATAAATAGGGGAAGGCAGTACATATCTAATTGTTGTCAGTTAAATAATTCCAAGGCTTAGTACCTACATTAAACGACTATTTTTTCCTTTGTGACGGTGAATTTACTACGTAATTTCAGTTAATGCATGTCTTGTTAAAAAACAATTAAACGACAATGATTTGCAAGAAAACAAAACAACTGTCAGTCAACGTATGTAGGATGTACCTATATGTTGTTTTTTGCTTTAGATCTTTACATCCTGTGTATAAAACCAAATTAGGTGTTTTTTATCTGACAGGTCGACAAACGAGCGGAAGGATTACCTGTTTTTTTTGTGAGGGCAAAATCATTTAATGACTTCAATGAGTGTCAGACTCTTACTGACTAAAGTCCCCCTGTTCCTTCTCCTGCTCTCTGCAAGGCCGCGGTGACTCATTGCGATTGTCCCCCAACCTAAACCTTGCTAAGGATTACCTGATGGTAAGCAATCGGCGGCGCGCATGGACACCTGCAACTCCTAGAGTTAGGTACGAGTGCGTTGCCGGCCTTTTTTAGGGATTAGGATTTCGGATATTTAGGCATTGGAGAGGTATGAGGCAGGGGAAAGATCGGGCGTCCAGTAATCTCGCTCAGACGGTGCAACACCACGCTGTAGTTGTTTCACGCTGGTTTTTTGTAAGGGCGTGGTATCACTCTGGTCGAGCTGGCCCATTCGTGAATTTCCGGGTAAAATTTTTGTAACACATTTTTGTTTAGTTTTGTTATAAAAGGAAATATTGACACGAAACCTTCTATTATTAAGGCCTTACCTTAACTTAGTTTATAAATCATTTTTATAACCCTTAAAGTTTATCCATGCATAAACATCTGCCTAAAATTGTATCTAGATCCATTCAGCCATGTTCATTCAAAAAGGTTCATTCGAATTTTTGTATTTAGAATTCTTAGAAACTACCTATTGTTAAATAGATACAATACGTAAGCATAATATTGAAATAAATCCATTAAGCGTCATTTCGTTGTAATTCACGCTGCAATCCGATCCCTTTCTAATTAGATAACTTACATTAATTATTATCTGCAGATTAGACAATAGATCAGTGTCAATTAGCAAGCATAATGATGGCTAAGTAGTGATTCAATTCAAATCATTTTATGTCAGAGCTTGTCGCATTAGTACTTAAACCTGCATGATGAAGGCATCCTCATTTGTCATCGTTGCTTTTGTCACAATCTCCTTTCATTATACCTAATAGGAATGAGCGCGTTACTTCACTGTGACTATCATTCCAAGGCTAAGTTTTTCAACTCAATTAGTTCAACCGTTGTCATAGCAAATCTAAATATCGGAATATCAAGGATTGTACGTCCAGTAATATTACTTACACAGCGAAACATAACATAAGGGTCGTTTCGCGGCGATTTTCTATGCGGTCTTGGTATCAGTCCAGTCGAGTTGACCTATTATATATTTGTTTATTATTTATATACCTATAATTGGGTAGTTTCCTAGGTCAAAAATAAATAAATTCGACGTTTCAATACAATAAAATATAACTTTTACTTTTATTTATCGATCTGTCGATAGGTACATACAATTTTCAATGTGTTTTAGCATTTTTTCAAGAAATAGGTATGTTTTTTGACACAAAATAACTATGACGTCGTAATTTCGATTTTCATACAAATTTCATAGAAAAGTATCGTTTTTGACATTTGGATAAAAGTATTGAATTTGACTATAGTTCGTTCCATAATTAGAGACAACAATTTGACAACAGCAAATGTCAAACTACAAAATAATGTGGCCAGATTTTTTAACATAGTGATGGGCCCGAGTACGATGTTTTAAATAAAATACCGATACCGTTTTTTTATAAAATACCCTGACCTAAATAAGTCAACGTTGCGGTGATGTTTTTTATAGTTTAGTCGAATTAATAATAATAATTTAAAATAAAAATGCGAAATCCAAGACTGGCTAAAAGAAAAACATTATATTTGAGGAACCTATGCCAAAAACCATGCTGTTGGAGATTTCCCGGAAAGAGAAGAGTAATTATGAACGATACGTCGTGGACTGATGCCTGCTAAAAGGGGGTCACTATTTTACGGTTGCCTCCTTACCATTATGATTTTAACCCGACTGAGTTATTATGGGCACAGGAAGGTACCAGGGAAAGTAGCTAAAAATAATAAAGCTTTTAAAATGCACGAAGTCCAGAATTTAATTTCGATCTTTCAGTTAATACCGGTCGCGGGACTTCACTATTTATGAAATGGAAAAAACTTGCAACACTCGAAATGTCAAATCGTTGTCTCTAATTATGGAACGAACTATAGTTGGAAACTACCGTATTGCATATTGGAGGACTCAATGCTAGAAGCAATTTCTGCGAGTCAACCTTTTGGTAGTGTAGAGATGTAGGTACTTATGAGATGTGACCTATTCGTTCCGAAGCATATCTCTAGCGAAATGATGAAAATTATAATAAAATATAAATATTAAATAAAATTTCATACAGATATTTGTCACCTTTTTAACAAACATCGACGTTGAATATTTGAAAGAACCACTCACAAAACAAATCGCTTTTCAAATCTGTGTTTGTTTACCTTTACGTTATAATATTCTGTAATTTTTTTTATTTTTCATCATTCATCTTAATAATTATGGTCGATCTCGCAGTCAGTAAGCATGAATGTTTTGGATTTGAGTTCATTGGTCAATTCAACTTTCAATTCAATTGGGGAAATTCTTTAGGTATTAACAGGAACACCTACCTACCCACGACGAGAGTAAAATAGCAATTTCTCTGAAAACTAATTTCCAATAGCCAACTTTAACTGGTCGTAATCGTTTTTTGCTTTGAGACAAATTTGAATTCCCTTACCGTTATTCAACCTAACGTAACGTTTCATTAGTAACACGATACAAATAAATACTCCTTTCACATAGTCGACAACATATCGATGTTACTCACCTACTCAAGGATAATTTTATCTACCTCTTATATAACTAAATAGCGTCCTTATTGTATAAAGATTACCTTATTAGCGTTGAGGTTGTATTTGATGATGTCCTTGTGTGGGGGCTTCGGGATGAGGCCGTAGCAGGATTGCAGAGTGTCCTCGGGAGCGCCAATACCAATGTGAGGTGGAATCGACTGTCGGACGGATAAATAAAACATATATATTGTATTAACAACTTCTATATATCTAATCCGTGATTTTATTTTACTTCATTAATCATTTTAATGGATGTAGGTTTATCTTCATATATAAATATCAATCGCTGTTCGTTAGTATCGCTAATTCTCGAGAACGGCTGGTCCGTTTTTGATAATTATGGACTTATAATATTCGTTGAAGTACAAGGAAGGTTTAAGAGGTCAGAACCTATTATTATATATATCAGAACATATTTGAGGCAGTACGGAGTTCGTCAAGACAGCTAGTTTTTAATAAAAAAACATATGGTTACTGATATATAATATGTATATTGGAAGATAACAACTTAATCAAGTGAATTAACCGAGAAAAGCTCTACTAGTTTCATGTGACAACGGGACTCTTGTTCATGAGCAGCATGCGTGTTGGCGGCGACAGCGTGAGCGAGGCGTTGTCGCGACACTGCATTTTCTCCGTTCGCTTTTCTCAGTCCATTCAGTAAGTTGTTATTTTCAATCAATTTAGTATGCCTTACGATAATAACTGTACAATTATCGAGAATATCTAAATTAAAAATTTATAACAACAACATATAACTCGACTATAGCACCATTAGGTCTATATTTAAAAAAAAACCTATATGCCAACTATATGTCAAAAACATTACTGAAGCTAAAGACATTATTCAAAAAAGACGTAATTTTTTTTTGCTCCGATGATAATTTAAATTTTAATGATGAATTTGATTTTTCGTTGCTGTACGTACATTTATTGTGTTATGTATTATTTATTACTAAATAATATAAATCTATCATAATAAGTATACAGTAAAAATCTCACCTTGGGGAATTCTTTCTTTTCTTCTTTATGAACTTTTACCGGCTCAGGTTGTTGTAAGTTCAGCATAGCGCTGCAAATAATTAATACATCAGTAAGTATGCTACACAATAATCAATAAATCAGTTTATCGTATGTTTGTGACCACTTGACAATGTTAATATACTTATACACATTTAGATATAACAATCTAACAATATTATGGTAATATAATATTTTGATTTCACGGTTGGCGCCTTAGCTAGGTAATCGGTTGCTGTGCTACACGTCGCAGGTTCTTAGTGTGGGCCACGAATTGTTGTCCCAGATCTGGGTTATTCTTTATAAGCTTTTAAATGCACCCACGACACAGGAGGAAACCCCAAAGTGCCTAGTATTTAAACAGACAAAATCAATAACAAAACACGAATAAAACATGGCCGCCTTATTTTGAAAATGGAAGAGTGATAAAAATAAATTATTAAGAATTAGATAAATCTAATAAGAATTTTATTGATACATATATATACCTTATATACTATATATATAATTTAAACATTAAATAATCCGCTTTTTATATAGTATATTGTATTGTATAAAATAATGCTATAACTGGTTGGTTATAATCGCAGAGAAGACTCACATATTCACATCACCTTGAAAAAAAATAACGCAATTAATTATTTGTTGAGTACGTACCTATGCTTGACATGACTCATAATACTTATAAATACTTCCCTGTTCTTCGAATCAAAGCAAATTAATTTCTTAGTATTCCTAGTATAAAGCAGACAGCCTTTTATTTCCATTAATATCTCTATGACAACGTTTGAACTTTTAATCTTGCTGTAAAATTCATACGGGAGGTGTATAAACTCAATTCGTTATTCTCTGCTCTGCGTTGTTTTACTTTTTTTATTTTCACTGTCTTTAGGTAGACAGAAGCACATTTCGCTCGTATCAAAGGGATTAAAAGTGTGCTTTCGTGTTTAATTAGAAAGGGATTCCTTTGAATATTAGATTAAAATGTAGGTAGACACCTATATGAGCATTTTTAATCAAAGCGTACTAATTAAGGCCGCCTTTGAAATGTCTTTTGTGTTTTAAAAAATATGTAGATGGGTACTTTAATTGTCTATGGTTGTTTTGATTATCTATGTCACTTTTATAAGAAAAAACAAATTTATACTTGTCTTTTCGTAGCCAATTATTATTGATTATTAGTAAAAAGTATTCTACAAACTTTTAAGTATAATTTTGTTTAATATTTTGCAAAAGAAAGACTATTTACAAATCAATCCTGAAAACGCTTACGTACGTACATTTCTATAAACATTCCAAGTACTTATATGTCTCTTCTATATTCGTCTCCGCCACAAGAAATACAAAGAAGAAAAATATAATATGTATACATAGGTACACAAAACATAGTATAGCTACATATAGCGATCAATCCAACTAATTCGGTTAGGCGCACAAATCTCGGGCGGTACTTTGGCGTAGAAATATTATTACTAGCAGTAACTCATTGGCCTTAGTATATTACAAAGAGTACATCTATTTCATGCATTAGGTTGATTCGCCTTCTTTGTAAAGGTTATCTTTGGATAAGAGAAAATTCTAATAAAACCTCACATTATAACATTATCTATGAACTTGCTATAGGTATACCTGAAAATAATCTATTAACTAGCACCATGTATATAGGTATGTACTCATAAAATAAACAGTTACGTAGTCAAGTACTGAGATTTAATAAACTGTATTCCAATTTAGATCTCATTTAATTATTAATTTAAAGTTTAAGGTGGGTTGTAGCATATTAATCAAGTTCAATAAATAATAATGACCTCGTAAGCTCCCCAAGTGCATTATTAAGTCTTCAGTATAACCACTCGCTAACTAACTACGCAGTACCTACTTACATACGTCTATGTGTACCTATAATGTATATTTATACACGTAGACAGCAAAGAGGTTTGTTAGAAGCAATTATCACGAAAATCCTCAATTTTAGAGCTCATTTAGGTTCAACCTTAATGTCTATTCGCTTAAAAATATTTAAAATGGCTGTCACCCTCTTTAAAATATTAATTGACTGTGGTTGCTAGAGGTCACAAGATCTTTTGAAACCTACATGAAAACATCGTTTGTCATGAAATAGACTGTCTATTATTATTTATTAATGGGAGCGTAGTAGAATTGTGTAATTATATCGTAATAGTGGAGTACTATTATGTAGCCATTAAGACAAATGTCACTAATTAACCGTAGAGAGAACATCATCGTGGCTCTATTCACAGCAACTTGGGTGGTTTCGCTTCATATCACACTTAATGTCAGGATTTATCTTTGAGCACACGACGATATGACACTTGGCTACACCTATGATCTAGTTGACACACATTCGTGACATAGACTAGAACTAACTAGCTCTGACATTCATTGCTTTACTATATTTCTACGACCGTCTAACTGCTCTATGGATTTCCAAATTTGGTTTGGCTTTCTAATGAAATTCAATGATGTATCCAAACAAAAGTTTATGTTTTTTATGTCATAGGTCGGCAAACAAGCTGAAGGATTACCTGATGGTAAGTAATCAGCACCGCCTATGGACACTTGTAATATCAAAGGAGGTAATACAAATGCGTTGCCTTTGTCTTGTGGATTTGTGGATTGAGGATGGGGCTCGGGGAAAGATTGGCACTCCGGAAAACTCACTCACACGGTGAAACACAAAGTAATGCTTCATGCCGGTTTGGCCGTTGTGCCGTAGCATGGCTTTACTTTACTTAAGTTAATCAACAAATCAGGTAAACACGTGTAGCTCAACAATTTTCCCGATTTAGGAGTATAGCGTAAAATTTAGGAGGTTGATTCATTTCCATAATATTTTGTCAAGAGCTTATACTGCATTGCACACATTCATTCACTGTCAGATACAAAGTAGAATAAATGAATAGACAGGGATTATTGTAATGTACAATGTCAACACCACACATCTGTCATTTATCTGTTAGGAGAATATCTTTCACTAAAGGCTGATTTTTCAATAGTTAGACAAATGTTATCTGAGTAATAAAATTGTTACTGTCACTGTCTTATACAAACATTCTGACGCGACAGCATCATAATTATTTCCCAGATAACTTTAATCTAACCATTGAAAAATCAGCCCTATACCATTTTTATTAAACAATGCATTGTTCCTTGTTACTAACTTGGTGTAGTTTAGCTCCAAAATAAATATTATTTTGCATTTTTAAGAAGGTGGTACTCATCTGCTAGTGGCAAGCGCTATATAATGAACATCAAAACATATGTAAATTCGATCCTTCAAGTCGAGTTTTGCCGAATGACTGATGTATCACAGTTTATTGTATTTTGCAAGTAACATGCCTCATATTTTTCTAGAGTAGGAGTAGGGAATCCTTTTATCTACGATTGTGGCCTTCGGCACTTGAGAGTTGGCAAATAAATCCTTTTAATTCAACACTTCTTACTACTGAAACTAGAAAGGAGATATAAAGGGAAAGTGAAATATTGAACGTATCAGCTGTTTTTTGTCCCACGGAAAATACAAATGTCGTAATACAGGGAAGGGTTAACAGTTCAGCACTAGTGGCGAGGCGAAAGAAAAAAAATGTTCCAATTTCTTATCTTGTCGCGCAACCAATGCCAATCTAGTGGAGGAAATAGCTTACTTAATGGCGCTTGGAAGGGAAGGACAAATATTGATAAATTATCACAATAAACATGATATAAACTGCCTCAATGACCTTGTTGTGACATTGAGGAGATATTTTTACTACCATCGATATTTTTTTGTTATGTTATACGTACATATCTTCATGATTGATTTATTTTAAGTAATTTAAGGATGAAGTTAAACAGGTTTTATTGAGTAGATACATGAGAGACTCTGAACGTAGGTTTTTTTTGGAGAATATATGTTTCTACATGACCAGTTTTCATTCTACAAAGCTCGTAGTTAATTTTTCTCTGTGTGTTAGATATTCTGATATTATGTTCTTTAATATCTTTCAATTCCAAAGCAAATAGTAGAACTGTTGATTACCTACAACGTACTATAAACCGCAATCAACCCGCTTAGAGAGCTCTTAATAGAGAATCCGCCACAAGTCCTTTGAAAATACTATTAATTCCACTAAGCGAGTCCAGCTGAACACGAGGTAGTCTTGCATTTATATTAATCTCGAGACGACAGAGTTTTTGACGTAATTAACATCAAAAAAAAAAAGAAAAATGCCGTGTAAAAGAGCTGCCAGGAAACGGGAAGCAACTTTACTTTTAATTTTCCTTTGGTAAATGTAAACAGGGAAATGAGGAAAACGTCGTTTGCTACAAAAACTCACCAGCAAAGGGAATAGTCTGTTAACCCTTTGAATGAGCGATTGTAAATAATGGATATTTTAGCACCTAGTTCAAGTTTGCTCGCCCAACCCCCAGGCACTTGGGAAAGTGCAAATGAAATCGCGTATTTGCGAAAAAAGTACGCTTTGATCAAATATACCTCCTACGTTTTTGTGTAAAGATAGGTTGGTTTCGTCGTAGAACCATAACGTAATATCATTATTGTTTTGTTCAGAAAGGGTAGAATGGTTCTATGAGAAATAATAATCTAATAATTTACATGTATACGTACACCTAAACAGCGTTCACAGTACCTATGTATTGTTTTCGTGAATAGTGTCTTAGACAAGACAAGATTCAACTATCTATCCCCTAGATATCAAATCTAAAATCTATGCAAACCCATACAGCTATACCAAAGGAATAAATAAAAACTATAATTTAAATAATGTATTATATAATATACCTCCAATTAGAACACTACAGCATACCTACTCACAATGATTTAGCGAGCTTCCTGAGACACTGGACAAACGAGTCAAAATAAATGTCAACCGACTCGTTGCATCCGTTCAACAATCGACCATGTTCCAGTTACATTAACAAATAATATAAATATATATGTTAACTGTGATTTACATATTATTAGATTATTGTAAGTCATTATGGAAACTGCCATAGAAGTTCGACATCAAAACAAATGACATCTGAATTATCTTCAGAAAACTGAAACACGGAAAAACTAACCTTGAATGCACTTAGCCTAAAATTTAATATCAATTTGCCTGCAAAAATATTGATGCGTTATATGAACACCAAGACAAACTAAACAAAACAGAAAATCCGTCTTGAAATAAGGGCATTTCGCAAAAAAATATGTATTTTCTTGGCTGGTGTCGAGGGATTGCAGTCCCTTTGTAGTCTGGCGACAATATTTCCCGTGCAGTCAAGTAAACAGAGGGCAACGATGGACGGAGACAAATAGCCTTGTGGTCAACAAGCCGAGGGGACACTCCTAACGAATATGTAAAGGAAACCATGTTACTGACAACCACAATATCAGCAAATACTTCATATTTATGTATACAGTATTTGTGATTTTCTTTCTCTTTTATACTTTTCCTTTAGTATCGTTTAGCTAAGCATGTTTCTCATTTTTATAGTTGTTTTATTTAGAAGCTACATACGAACTTGATACTTGCTTACTTTTCAAAGTTTTATTCCATTTGCAATCAATTCAGTGATTACAGAGATTATGGTAACGTGAAAATCCTTATTTTACATTTTATTTTATTAATTTGTTGTTCATATTTATTTAATGGTAATCATATCTTATTTTGAGTTTACGACTCAAATGTAGGCGAATCGACGTCCCGTATAATGATATATACAACAACAACATAAATGGGAAACAATAAAAATTGATAATGAAACAATAATAGGTTTTATAGATCAACTTCATCTCATACGGAATGCTTGCTCATATTTTTACGAATCATACCATTGATCAGCATAAAGTTAATTGTTCATGTGTATCTTATAGAAATGGGGTTGTTGACCACTATCCAATTCAATATTCTTGTTTCACTGTCTAAACAAATAATTACGTATGAATTTTGAACCAGTTATAAAGTGATACATTACCTACAATATGAAAATGATTTATGATTTATTAAAAATAACGACTAAATCACACGCAATAATTAAGTGCAGCTCTACTCGTTTCGAGTCACAACGGGGCTCTTATTCACGAGCAGCGGGCGCATCGCACACCTGACTCATTAGTAAGTTCACGTGAGTAGGTCGTCCGTTTTAATAAATGGTATACAATACACAGGTATGAGATTCTTTTGATAATGCACTGCTATGTTTGTATGCTGCTTTATCAATCTGTCCTTTCGAAAGACATATTTATTGCACAGTTACAAATATATTAAAAGAAAATCCTTTTAGTTATGAAGATTAAAATTGTTGCTTATAATTTCTGTCATTGAAAACTTGACTTGAAAAGAGACGGACTTCTGAGTTTGTTTCGGCATTTCTTCTCAGAGTAGTCAGATAGGAAATGCCGGCTTCATTTAGTTTTTCACATATAAATTGACGTGTAAAAGTTACCCTATGCAAAAGGCCTATTTGCAAAATTGAATTCATTGTTTCATTAACACGAAGTAGTAGGTATTTCTATAAGTATAATCAGAAATGTAACTATCTTCACCTGTAGTATTTCCTTGTGAAGTCATCGCAGTTGCAAATCAGGAATCGTCTTCCGAGTATGAAGACCGTGTTCCCGATGATCAGGTCCTGAGGAGCGTAGTACTCCGTGGTCACCTCCTCTTCCGTCGTCTCCAACACCGTGGATGGGAAAGCCACTGTCGAGTTAAAAAATATATATTACTGACTTCGAAAATATATTTCATTCTATCTAAGAATAACATTTCATGAAGAAATAATATCAAATCAAATCAAATCAAATCAAATTTTTTATTTCAAATAGACCAAAAAAGGCACTTTTGAACGTAAAGCAAAAAAAATATCATAAGGTTTATCTTTATATGTGTCAGTCTGTCCGTCTGTCCTCTAGTGAAGCTATTTGCTCGTTCCAAAGTGTAGATTCCTATGGAGAAGAACGAGCAAGAAACTCCATGGTTACTCTTGTTCAATCACTTTTTACAATGCATTGTTACATAATTTAGATAGTTCCATTATGTGAGAACAGTGTAACACTAGTGTTTAACCAAAGGATCCGAAAAAGAAATGAACCTCAGGGACAGCAACTTTAGACAGTCTCGAGTTGACCAGTCCCAATAGGCGGCGTCCGTTCACGAACATGACACGTACACCAGCACCGCCCTACTCAACCATATTATGGGGAACCGAGCGGTCCAGTGCCCGTGCCACCGCCAATGAGACTCCTGAGTGAGCATGACAACTCCCAACTGACCCAAGTACCAATATACAATAAGTCTAACTCAATTATAATAAGTTACAGGGCTCTCACATTTACAAAAATCCAGTTTATCAACAATTAACAACATGGTGAATAATTTAATAATTGAGATCAAAATTCCTCTTCACTTTAACAATTTTTATCCTGTGCAGTCAAACCAGCCACCCTCCAAGCATTTTTATCTTCTATATAATCATTTAGTTTGTAGTATGCTTTCCTACATACAGGACCCATATAGCCCAGTAATGAACTTTCACATATGAAGAAGATGAGATCGTCCAACACTAAATACATAATTTAAATTTACTTTCATTAAGATTTTGTATTTCAGTTGGGATTTTATTATAACATTTAACACATAATCCCATGAACGACTTATGCACTTTTGCTAATCTAAATAAAGGCTGACTTAATCTATTTCTATGTCTAGTAAGATAATAGCTGTAGGTTTTTCCTAACATACATAATGTTATTATAAATATATAATAAGAATAAAATTTCTCTAGATATACTAGCATATCTATTAGTCCTAAAGACATTTCTTTGGGAAAGACTTCTGTCGTCCAGGATGAGGCGAGAGGTTGTGTCAGACTCTAACTGACTACTGACTCTCCTGCTCTAGGCCGAGGCCTTGCCAGCTCCGCTGAACAGCAGCCCTGTAGGGCTCCGTCTGTAGTGGTCTGTCCTAACGAGCATAAAAAGCAGACACATATCACATTCACTTCAAGATAACTTTTCTAAGGTACTACCTTTACAGGATATTCGAACCAAAATATCTGTCTATTTGTTTATCTAGGACTTTTTTACTCTCTTTCTCTCACATAGGCACGACAGAGGTAAACATGGAGTAAATTTGACCCACACATTGGCGATCGGTCCGCGAAACATATATAGGCACGAGTTTTCATATAATGTTTTACTTGAATAACGTGGTAGCTACTGATCTTATTTGAGTTGAATTTTTGTGCCCATAAACAGTATATCAAAGTTTAAAAACTAGACCAAGAAAATTTCCGAAAGAGTTTGGAGACATAAAAATAATTTTAAAGTATCAATACAAACTAAAAATCGCGTAAATATAACTTACTAAATTACTTGATCCAAAAATTTCTTCGAAAATAATTAATTAGTTATCTTTTAAACCTTAATAAAACTTAGGTAACCGTAGGCTTGGCTTGGAGAAGCAACGTGGTAATTTTTAGTCAGTAAGAGAACCCTTCCTCTCGCCTGACGAAGAGTATAAGAAGTTACCCCTCAAAAAAGACCTTAAATAATTGCGTATAAGGACGCAGTTTGATTAAAAAAGATTTGGAGCCGCGTATACGACAGAAAAGCGCTTTTCAAAATTCATGTCACACGAACTGACCGAGAAAAATATTCTACATTTGCTGCGTGTATGTCACCTAGGTTAGTATGAATATAATGAATAACAGCTAGAGCTATACCCTAATCGTAAAGGTTAACTTTTATACAAGTATTCGGCATTGAGGAGGGTCGGGTGTCCCTCTGACCTTCGTCGCCAAGACGTTGAATGGCTACATCGATATTCAATATTGGATTATACAAATCATTTTTACCTTACATTCTTCAATTTATATATTTTTAAAAGAGGATAGAACTAGCTGGATAAATCGCCGAACGGATATTGGAAGATTCCTTCTGAAATGTGACCTGATTTTCATAACAAGATTTTCAGTTTAACGTATATGATGGCTTATGTAGCTCAGCACAATCATTATAGCGCAAATTCTAATTATGTCAACAATAGATTTTTATTGGAGGGGAAGGGGGGGGGGAGGCGAATATCATCGCGCGATGGGGTGTCAGACTTACTGACTAAAAACCACCTAGTTCCTTTTCCTGCGCGGTACTTTCACCCGCAACTTCGGCAGGGCCTATTGACTAAGTAGGTATGGATATCTTAAGTGGAAAACGGTTGACATGTTAGTCAGTGAATTAATTTATATTTATTAATACTTATGCATTTTCCCTCATTTACTCACTCTTCACTTTGGTTACAGTAACACATCGGTGAACTTAACACAAATATTCTTATTTTCTACCTGTCATCCAAAAAGCAGTCATAAAAATTAATCTTGTCTAATATTGTAACAAAATTGTCGAAGTTTGTAATTGTACCACCCACACCCATATATATCTACGTTCTTCCTTCGTTTTCCAGGCCTTTTATTATCCTCAGCCTGACCTGCAGTTATTTATCGGGCGAAAGCACACGTAGCTAATAAATTTGCATTAAGAAAATTACGGGTTAATAAGTTTAGCGCTAGTTTGCGGTCGAACGTGATAACTTCAATACCTATTCACTGTTTTTAGACAAATCTCAAAATGGAGTAGAAAGTTATATCATTGAGTCTAAAAATAGATATCTTTTTTAACGAATGCAATCACCATTCTGACGAATATCCATTTGGCATTTCAGCACTGACCTTTTAATGCCGAAGGTTTATGTTTGGGGGCGGAAGGTTACCTCAGAAATGCTTTACATTCGGTACCTTTGTGCCGTATAATAAATTTAATCCATGGCTGCACCCAGTACTTACAGGTCAAATACATCACTAGTTTCAAGCAATAAAGGCAAATTGCGAGGAAAGCCATACGTTCATAAATCTGTGACCTAAGCGGCTAGGTAGGAGCTGTCGTCCTGCCACATGGGACGGTATTGCTCCAATGAAAAACGGTGGAACTACCAATTGAATATATTGAGTCAGCAGCATTCATCACCGACTGACATTCGATTAAGTCCCTGCTGTGAAAACAGGGGCAATATAACACCCTGTATTTACAAAGTTTGTTTGAGTACCTGGGATGTGAGGCGAGGTGACTTTATTATAGATTCAATTGTGCACCGCTACGTAGTATATTTTATTTATCATTTTTATCCTTATACTGACCCAAATATATAAATAGGACTTGGGAAGTCCTCTCAGCTACTACAATTTTGTCTTTTTATGTGATAGTACGGCAAATGAGTATACGGATTACTTAATGATAATCAATCAATAGCATCCATAGACACATGCAACACCAGAAGAGTTACGAGTGCCACATAAGTGTAATTTAATGATACAAAGACAGCAGTTTTTATATGATAAAAATATGGATTATTTAAGTAATTTTCTTGTTTAACGTTTCCTGAATTTTCACAAATATTTCAAGATTAGTCGAGTCGGTGCAGCCGTTTTCGAGTTTTAACGACGATGGCGACGAACGACTTGTATATCACACATCATTAACATTATCGACCAGGTTTGTACTATAATCACAACGAAGGCTGGTTGGAATGCAAACTTATAGTTTAGGGTTCCTCACGATGTCTTCTTTTACCAAATAGATTACATATAAATTGTGGAAAATTCACGTTGTTACTTGCCAGGTTAAAATTAGTACTATCGTGCTTGAGAAGCGAGACTTTTAAGACAGCAAATCTTCTAAAGTTATTGAACTATAATAAAATGTACCCTTTATTCTACAAGTACCTATCTACTACCAGTCTACGGAATGTAGGTCGACCTCGTCGCGTTTTGCTAATACTGACCGTCATATACTGTCAAACTTCCTGACATGTCTATCAAGGCCTCACTGAAAGGCCAGGGCTACTGGTAATAAGCCAATAGGCTAATACACTTATGTATAAACACAGATTTATTGACCGGTCAATTAGGTAGTTACTTGAACCCTTTATACACCAAAATATTGTAGATTTTTTATACAAGGTATTTTTTTTTCTTTTTTATGAAACCGGTCGGTCAACGGGCACACGTTTTACCTGATGGTGACCTACCGGCGCCGCCAATGGACAACTGAAACACTAAAGGATTTGCAAGTGCGTTGCGAGCCTTTTGGGGATTAGGGCTTCGGATATTTAAGGATTGTGGAGGGATGGGGGGTGGAGGAAGGGTTGGGCCTCCGGTAAACTCACTTACATGGCAAAAAGGATGACCGTGAGTTAAAAACGTGTTAATTGTAACAAAATTTACGCACAAATTTGTCAAATTTAGTCTGAGTTCAATTATATCTGTATAACACATAAAATTAAGTTAGTAGTCATACTGTACTGCAGTCACTGCAGTCTACACAATATTAAGTATCAAAGGGACCGCATTATTTTACAAAGCATAGCTAAAGAGGGGTTCTATCCATGGCTCACCGAGTATATCGGTTACCGTATTCATTAATTAAGTTCTAAGAAAACAAACAACAAATTACAAAGGCTTCTCAGACGGCCTTTTGCTAGTCTGCAATAATTCATAATCTCCCAACGAAGAAGTCGAACTCGAGGCTCGGTAACTTCTCAAACTTTCATAGCTTAATCTCCTTAAAAGCTATTAATATAAAGAGAGGTAGGTATCCTTGTTTGTTAGCGCGCTAATTACTTATAACTCAATCAAATTTTGTAATTAAGTGTACGATATGTAATCGTCGGTTAATATTGTCTACTGGTTTATTGTCATGTTTTGGATCATCATCATCATCATCAGCCTGTTGTCGTCCACTGCTGGACATAGGCCTCCCCAATTTCACGCCACTGAGCTCGATGTTCAGCTCTTCTCATCCAACCACTGCCAGCCACTTACAGTGCGACTGATCCACCAATTTAGAGTCGCGCAGCGAGCTATGGAAAGGGCTATGCTTGGAGTCTCTCTGAAGGATCGTATTCGAAACGAGGTGATCCGACAGAGAACTAAAGTTATCGACATAGCACAAAGGATTAGCAAACTGAAGTGGCAGTGGGCAGGTCACATCTGTCGAAAAAACTAAATGGTAAATCAAATTTTCCTCTATTCAATGTTTTAAAAGAGTGCTACATTTTTTTTTATGTGATAAGTAGGCAAACAATCTGACGGATTACCTGATGGCAGGCAATCGGCGCCGCCCATGGACACCCGCAACACCAAAGGAATCACGAGTGCGTTGCCGGCATTTTGGGGATAAGGTTTGCGGATATTTAAGGATACGGCGAAACACAACGCTGTGGTTGTTTCACGCCGGTTTTCTGTGAGGCCGTGATATCACTCCGGTCGAGTCGACCCGTTCGTGCCGAAGCTTGGCTCTCCCATATTTATACGTATATTTATATAACATATATTTTAAGAGAAACAAACTAAAGACAATAAGTCCTTCTTACAAAACTAGTTCCTAAATTAGAAATATAATTTTGTTTGTTAACTGCAGAAGACAAACGGTTTAAGCTAAATGCCTGTAGGGATTAAGCAAGGCCGGGCGGCCGGCCGCGTCGCCCCGGCACAATGGAACATTGGAATGCTATTTGTGATGTTAAAAACGCGGAAACGAATCTTGTTGGAAAATGGAAAACGTTTTATCATAAAACCTCCTCTATTTATCAAATATTCAGTATTTAAGTCCTATGGTTCTTTTAAAATAAGGTTTAAATTATTCATATCTCATTTTACCAGACAATGTTTTCTAGTATGTATATTATTCTCAACTATAAATGCATGTAGTTTAACCTGACTATATGCATTGTGAAACCCAATTGAATCTTTGCAGAGGTTCATCAAGAAAAAAATGTGCGCCAATAACACTATGTCCATGGACACCCGTAACAACAGAGGAGTCTACGAGTGCGTTGCCTACCTTTTGGGGATTAGGGTTTTGGAGATTTAGACATTGGAGAATGGGAAGGAATGGGTCTCCGGTAACCTCACTCACACGGCGAAACTCAACGCTGTGGTTGTTTCACGCCGGTTTTCTGTGAGGCCGTGGTATCGTGACCCATTCTTGCCGAAGCATGGCTCTCCCACACTTAAAATTTAGATTTAAATCTTAACTTTGCAGAAATCTGATTCTTCGTGAGTAATGACTGCTAACTTTTTCAAATCATAATAGAGAGACGTTGTTTCTCAGCCTTTGGATATTCTGATTGAGTCATTACCGTGACGGAATTGAATATAGCTATGTGAGCACAGGCGCAAGCCCGGCCCGGGCGGGCACATATTATTACCACATCCACTTTTTATCGGCATTTTCGTCGTACCTAACAAGCACCATTGAAAGACCATTAAAGGTTTTTGTCCTCACTCGAGTTGGGGCAGCGGGCCCGAGTTACGATCTGTGTTTGATCACTTACCACTTACGAATAGTTACTGCCATATTATTTAGCAATAAGGTTCAAGCTGAAAGCTCTCGTCAACGCCGCTTGTTTTAAAGTACTACATACTACAATATATAGTGTTCAAAGCAAAAATCTTACCAGGCTTCTCCTTCCACTTCTTGGGCAGCTTTGTTTTCCTTAGAAGCAGCGGAAAAGGATCTTTTCCGCCCTTCCCGTCGTGGATTTCCTGAGTGAATACAGATAAAACTTAATCGAGGAAGATTGTGTATCTAGCTAAATATTTAATATAGTACTTTTTTCGTCGAAAGAATAGCCATAAACAAATATGTTGAAACCACTATTAAGTATGGAAATCCCAAAAAGATTGCTTAATATCTTGTAAGTAACATGTGGAATATAATCCCGGGACGATTTAGTGTAGGCAATGGTCGAGGGTGATATAACTAATGAAGCATTAATTACTAATGAGGTATAGTACCGGGATAAGTGCCCACACGTCGTCTATGCGGACGCTGAGGAATTTTTATTGAGCGTTCGTAATTGGAGTGCGTCCTGCCAGGGCCCACATAAATATTCATTGCTCTGATTTTCCAAGGCCCTCGCTTGTTTTTAAATTAAACCCTAAATTTACCCGCGCTTAGTGAATGCTTTTATGGCTCGCCTTTGTTCAGCGAGTTATATAAATACTGTGATGGTATTTATTGCTTTATTAATCAATCTAGGGTAAATTAATTTCAAATGTTTTCTCCTTTTTCATTTTAGGTTTTGGGTCAAACAAAGTTATTGGAGCACAACGTATTTTTATCCAGGATTCATAACTCTTGAATATTGAAGGTTGGTCTTGCAACCTTAGGAGCACTTTAAAGTTTAATATTTTACTATAGCAGCACTTAAGATATAATAGAAAAGCTTTTGTGATATTCTTATTTTCATGCAATCTCAGGTTTAAGCCCTTAAAGTGAAAAGATCAAAGTAGATTTTATCGTGACGTTTACATTTTAAGCGTAGATTAAAAATTATATAATGTAAGCTATACCTACAAACATAGTTACATAGCTTAAGCTTATACAGGAAAGTACGTATACATATATATGTATTCAAACTTTGTTCGAAATGGAAAATCCAGTTCCTAGTATGGGGTAGACTGAAATAGGTTTAACTATTTTAATCCGCTCCATCCTGACTATTAAAGTTGTGCTATTTTAGTACAAATGATTGCTGTACCGAAGTACATTAATGTTGTAATTAAACTATATTTGGAACTAAATGGCGTCTATAGCTGTATTAGGTTTTTTTATAAGCAATAAATATTAATTTACTAATAGTGATTATCGTCTGTGTCACGAATAGTAAAGTCTTCTTCACGTAATATAAGTTAAAAACAAGAGAATTAATTACGTACTCACCTTTATCGCAATAGTATCATCTTGCAGGAAATAGAGAAGCTTGTAATCCTTAAGTTCCCCAAAAGCTGAGTCACGGTCATCCCATACCACGTCGAAGCTATAAAAAGAGCAATCAATTAAATTAAGTACATCCTGTGGCCTCGACCGCGACTAGTGTCCCACATTTCCCCGTACATGTGGACACAGTCGGCTCAGGGACTGTATATCAGGTCCAGGCATATCTACAACTTGTACAATGATAACATCTTACTGGGAAACCATGATTTCCCCGAGGATCGAAGAGGTCAGGCGGCAGTTGCTTCGGGAAAAATTGTGCACACTGTATAATTAATGTAGCCAGCATATAGGACTACTACCTCACATACAGAATTACTTAAAGAAAGTACAGACCGAACGGCTCTCGTGGAAGTTTGTACATTGGGGACAATCGAGATTTTCATAAGCTCAGCCTCTACGTCCTAGACTTGGGCTCCACAGCAGGCTGTCCTAGCTTACGGATCTATTAGGTTATAAAGAGCCGGCCAATGGCCGAAAATAGCCAGCCTATAAAAAGAATATGACCGCTACCATAAATAAAATGAAAAGGATTTATTTCACGCGACAATATACAATGTGGATATGGGACGAGCTCGATGTGTTTAGCTGTTGGAAATCTCTTTTGTATACCCGATGACATTTAGGTATTTTTAGTTCCAACATTTATAAATAATTTAGTGGTTTTAAAACGCAACGTGACTGAGTTTAGAATCGGGTTGGGATTGTCCACGTGAGTCTATATAAATCCCAGAGCCAGTGTTCATATATTTTTATTCTTGAAAGTACTTTATTACACAGAGGCAAAATACGTTTTTATTGTTTTACGTAACAAACTAATACCTATTGTTATAGGCTACCACATTTATCCCACAGTATAATAACAAATATTTTACAGCTAACCAACTGGAGGTTCAATCGCACAACCAGATGCCGCCAATCCAATCAATCAATCCGCTCCACTGATGCATTACACTAGTTAGTATTGGCAGTACTTGCACATAGTTATAGTTTTAAAGAATTTAGTTATGTATTTAATTCAAATAAGAAATATGGAAGTTTACGGTTCATAATATAAAATAAATTACAGAAGTTTTATGCGTAGTAATATCATCAAAATTTATAACAACAATAAAGTCCTGATTTGAAATATAAAGATTGCATTTGATTTCAGCGAACGTAGCGTCCGTAGTAACTTCTTCAGATTTCGTAGCGGTAAACGTGCTTCTCGTAGCATTAAAGTGAATTTCGTAGCAAGCAACATGGTTCGTAGCAATAATATGCACGGGCTATTATCAAATGGGTTTACGGCGCCGACTATCGACCTAATGACTATGATATCAGAGTATAATATATTTCTATTAATACACACATCATATCGTCACATAACAACAAACCCTTCACATTTTCGCACTAATTACATTTTCGATACCGATTTACACCCTTCTGAACAATAATAAATTGATTTATGGCATCAGTCGAACGCACATCCTGGCAGGACGTGGTTAATCTCTTGGCATTAACAAAGTTTTTTACAGTGAGTGATTAAGTACTAAACATAGTGTTCAAAACATTAGACTCCTAGTAATGTAAGTCACCGGAATAATCATTACATTAATCAATGTTTGTCCTTTTATTTTTACCCCCTTACTAATAAAAATTTACACACATCTTATAACAGAGGTATATCACACTGATTACTAATAATCAACTTTTGACATTTCTCGCGTATACAGCTGTTATAACTATTGTGAAAATTGTATGAAATGTTACACAAGACTTATTCAGCCCGTGGACCTTGTATAACGTGTGAATAAGCGATCATTTTCGTGTTTTAACTGTCAGACGCATAAGAATTAGATTTTTACATTATTTTGATAAATGTTTGATGATCATGAATTCCGAAAAATCAACAAAAGAGAAAGAAAAGGAATTATCAACGATCCTTATGAATTCTTTTCCTTAGAGATCCTTCGTTAGAAGGTGCAGAGTAATAAGAAAATATAGATTTTCAAAGAAACGTATTGTTGAAGTTGTGGATTTGCTATGTACAGCATAGGACTAAGGGTGACGGTCTCCCAGCAGAAATCCATGTCTGTATAGCTCTAGGAGCCATGCCTTGACACGACAAAAAGATCAAGCTGATGCAGCTGATATCCATGGAATGAGTCAGTAACCTATCACTACGCCTATTACAAACCTGTGTCGCAGAGTATCTATCGTATTATCAAGACGAGTCGCATTTCGCAGAATTTATTACCTACTTTAGAAATGTGATTGCTTGAATAAGGCATAAATATTTATTAAAATCAAACATCCGGAGTCAGTATTTTTATTTTCGTCGATACCCAATAATTGCTTGACTTAGGTACAACCAGGTTGTTATTCCTAAAAAGGCAAAACAACTATCGCATTACTGTTTCCAAATAAACATAATCTTTTTTATTTTTACAAGAACATATTTATATTCACAACATCAAACATAGGATAAAAATTAATATGTGGCATAGAAGTGTAACGAAATATCCGTAATAGATACAGATACGTATTACAAATACAATATTTATAACAGTTATTTGTACGTTCATTAATACATTAGGTACTATAAATACATAAACTAATTTCAAATATCTACTCGTCAGAACCAGCTGACTGGCAGTTGACTAACCAGAAGATGGGGTATGATGGCGATATAAACCGAAATTTTGAAGGAGATTGTGAAGTTTGAAAATTAGTTGACGTGTAGATAATGTGTCTTAATACATATAACATTATTTTAGATCAATTAAAGCTAAAGGAATTTAAGATCAGCTGCCTAAATATAAGCCTGATATTTAGTAATAGGTATAACACCTATTATAAAAAGCTGTTACGAATATTTTCAGTACCTAATTGGATTATCGAAGTATAATTCTAATGGTGGCATTACTCTAATTTGTGTGAAATATGTATTTGACATTGATTAGGTACATTCGAAATATCAAAATTTTTATCAATTTTTTTTCGCAAATAATTTTTAAATTAATATTTTAAAATTAAATTAGATACCTTAAACCTTCTTTTTGTTTTAAAAAATCAAATGTTTAATTGATTATTCTAATCAAATAATTATAAAAATACAAGAATATTGTGAAGAAATGTTTCTGTTCAGAAGTTTCGGAACGCTTTCATCAATGTTGCTAGCAATCAGCAGTATAAGGAATAAATAGTTATTCAAGGTATAACCATTGTTTATTGGTAATGACTTGTATAAAGGAGTACTAACTCCCTATTCAATGAATAGCTATCAAAATGTTAAACAAGTGTGTAACCGAACTTTATTAGTAAGACCATTAACCTATTATTCCATTTCCTGTTCTAAAACGTGGCAACTTGAAAACGGTTTTAAAAGTTTCAATAAAATTGTGTATGTAAAGAGTTTCGGAATCGAAAAATTGATAAGATTGGTCTTATTTTTAGAAAACAAAAACATGTAAGCCAAAAAGTGCTGTCCTTCAGGAACTTTGTCTAATACAAATGGTTAAAAGTTGCCCTAAGGAAACTGCAGAAAAATACAATACAAAAGTAATTTTCAATACACCATGTAAAAGAAAGTAAAGATACTCCAATATTAACGTATAAATATTCCATCAAGTTTATAATGAATTCTCAAAGCCAACGTGATGGTCTAAAGGGATGATGGGGTGCGTCTTTCATGACACGTAAATCGAACGGGCAAACATAGGTACGACACATTAAGGCTGAGGACACACTGCTAGATGGCAGCGTCCGGCGTTTGTCTACACTGCACATAAATCCAAGTACACAAATTGGTTTCGCATCGCCCCAAGGCTCGGTTTACCAGAGACAACGTCACGATTTATTAATATCGATTGATGTCGGCAAATACGAAACAGTAGTACACAGGAGACAAGATCAATTGAGTATTGTATTGATGCTATAAACGAGACCCAGGTGTGACCATTGTGTCTGAGTCCCGACATTAAATAAACATTTGCGTTCATTCCCCATAATATTGCGTCTTTATCGTGTTTTATTATTTGAAATATATTTTTTATTATATTAAATTGTGGTGTAATGTAACTATATTACATTCGAATTCAATTTTGATTAGATTCGAAAATAATAATAATAAAGCTTGCGTCGACGCCGACGTTTCGAAAATTTTGTAACGCCCATTCTAATCGCAAGCCGTCAAAATTTTCCTGCTTTGAGAAACACAAATTTTAAAATAAGATGCCTACTATACAAGATTTTATGTTACATTTTTAGGTCGATCTTCGCCCGAGACATAATTTCTCCACAAGCTATCCGGTCTCTCAGAAATGCTAGTCCGTGGGCGCCCGCCTACGCTTGGCTTGCACTGCCAATGGTTATGATTTATATTTAGAGGGAGCGAGGATACATTGTTTGCAATCTTGAGTGAATATCTTTGCACAGCCCGACATTATCCATAAAGGACTTAGTACTTACAGTTATTGCTTAATTTTGGACGTACACCTGCTTAATCATCCCTTCAATGGGGTTATGGGGTCCAAGGGGTTTAGATAACACTGCATTGATAATTGTATAATAGTTTCTTACGAATGGTTCAGCTGACATTTGTTTGATTAATATTACTAATCTATCAAACCCCAAGCGAACGCGCCATTACCCCAACTAAAAGGTCTTGAGACCTTTACTAGAAATTTGCTTGATTGTCTATGAAAGAAATTAATAAACTTCCGACGCAGTCAAATATTTTTTCTCTGTCGCTAGCGCGTTGCTGTGGGTCGCTACCTTTAACGTGTCAATCACCCGTACCTAAGCGCGGCATCCGATTGTAATTACCTCTTTTACTCTCAAAGGAAATGAGTATACGATGCACGTGAATAACCGACTAAACTCTGCTTCTAATAGAATCTAGGTACATACAGCTTGTAAATTAAGTAGATATGTCAATTTTACATACACGTGCCCAGATATTATTAAAATGGCTGTTTATAATAATACTAGCGGCCCGCCCCTGTTTCGTACAGATGACCAACTACCTCGGTGTCATTCATTTGTTTTGTTAGGGAACCG